CCTTCCTCATAGGAATAATTCAGGGAGGCATCCTGTCAGCTGCTTAGGAGGTTCTGCACAAATCAGGCCCACAGAGACAACACACTTTACACCAGCTTTTGCACATTCTCTTTCTCATTCCTGCTCCCTGGGAACCACCTCTCAAATAAATTACCTGCATGGGAATCCTCGATTTGGGTCTGTTTCTTGTTTTGTTCTGTTTTGTTTTGGTGGGAGAGGGGGACTCAAGCTGGGGCTCTCTTTGTGTTCTCCCTCCCAGGGCTCCCTCTTTCCATTCCTTACATCCAGACTCAACACACGCTCTACTTTTGCATGTTCAAGATTTCAATGGCATTTTTGAAAGAATTGTAAAACTTTACCAGATTTTGTCCAGGGAAAAGGGTAGGGTTTTTGTTTGTTGCTTTTTTTGTTTGTTTTTTGTTTTTGGTTTTTGGTTTTTCAGCTTGCATTCCTATAGAAAGAAAAACTATACGGATCTATACTAAATGTCAGTGGTTATAAGATGGAAGATTGGGTGATATAATTTTTTTTTCTGTTCCTTAGTATTTTCTAAAACTTTTGAGGTGAAAATGTCTTAATTTTATAGTAAAGAAAAAAATAAGTTAATATAAAAATTTGGTCAAACCAACTTTTTTCCCTTAAAGAATAACTTTGTTGAGGTTATAATTTACATACCATAAATTCATCCATTTAAGTATATTGATGGGAGAATGGAGGACTAGCTGAGGACAAAGCACAAGCCTGGGGCAGCACATTGACAAGTCCTTGAAACAGTCAGAGTGACCTTCCTCTACCGACTCAACTGTCTCCTTGCTAAGGGCAAAAGGCAATCTTAGCCCAACCCCCAGGATCCTGTAAGTCTACTTTAAAGTTCAAAAATTTATTTAGAAATGTCCTTTATCCCTAAATCCCCAAGATACGTGTTGGCAATCATTCCCCAAGCACATGGCCCACCGATATGGATTTGAAGGGTCTCATGACTCAGGTTTTATTAGATGGTAAATAATACCATATTCCCAATAATAGCTAGCCCTCTCAAGGTCCTGGAAACCTTGCTTCCAAAATTCCTTAAAGAGTACTTTTATTCCCAAACCGCTCCCAACTCCCAGGTATATAATCAGTCCCTCTTCACAGGCCCAGGGCAGCAGCTCTTCCTGCCCATGAGTCCTGTCCCCATGCTTTAATAAAACCAATAAAACCACCATTTTGCACCAGAGTGTCTCAAGAAACTTTCTTGGTCGTTAGCTCCGGACCTCACCTATATTCCAAAACTTCATCATACAATTCAATGATGTTTAGTTTTAGATTTAGATTTACCAAGTTGGGTAGGGACCACCATTTGGGGGCAGTCCACCCCAAAATGTATCATTTTGGCATGTAGATTACTTTAAGCTGAAAACAATCAAGACCCAAAAGACTCAGAAAGAAACTTTTTGACTTTCTTACAAATGTCTAAGAAGAATTTAGATAGAGGACCTGTTCCAAGAAGGGAGGTATCACCATGGATAACTATAGTATATAAAATGAACTAAGGGTGGTAAACAGCGAGGAATTTAGCGGTCTGTTTGTTAAAATTCCTCTTTATGTCCCATTGTTTCTGAAGGGCCCAACAAACATTTGCTTACTAAATATTTATTTTGTTTCATCTCTCTGTGAATTGCTTTCCTTCTCTTTGAAGTCCCAGACTCCTACACCACTTTCCTTAGTTCCAGATGACTTATATACTTCATTTTTGCCTATCTTTGGTATCTCATGTCTGGGTGGATTTCCCATACATATACAATGAAATTTGATTTTCTCCTGTTAATCTGTTTCATGTCAGTTTAATTCTTAGATTGGCTAGAAGAAATTTGAATGATAGAGTAAAATTTTTTCCTCCTCAACATGTGCAACCATCACCATATCCAGTTTTAGAACGTTTTCCTCTAATAAGATCCTTCATATCTGTTGACAGTTAATCCCCATTTCCACCCTTAACTGTAAGACAAACATGATATAGTTTTTGAATGTAGGTGAGATCCAGAGCTGAGGACCAAGAAAGAATTCATGAGTTGTCTTTGGTGCAAAAAGGTGGTTTTATTAAAAGCACAGGGACAGGACCCATGGGCAGAAAGAGCTGCTGCACCAGGGTTGTGAGGAATGGTTGATTATACACTTGGGAGTTTCAGGTAAGGAAAAAGGGAGTGTCCAAAAGAATTTCATATGCTAAAGAGGACCTACAAGATATTGGAGACCTTGCCATTGCCAAGTTAAGGTTGTTTCTCCCTCTAGCAAAGTATTAACGTTAAGACAGTTGGATCTTTACTTTTGGGAGTTAGGTTATTGATAAGAATGTTTTTTTGTTTTTTTTTTTTCTCGTAAACCACTAAGACATTTGTAAACTGAGGGAGGCTCACATCTTTCTGGACTGTGATCTCTATTAGTTAGTCATTTGTTTTTCCTTCCTGTAGCTTTAGGGCAGGCAGGAGTGCCTGAGGAATGTCACATATATCTCACCTGGATTTGCCTTTCCTAGACATTTCATGAGAATTGAATCATAATCTTTTGTGTTTGGCTTCTTTTATTTAGCACAATGTTTTTAAAGTTCATTCATGTTGTAGCATGTATCTATATTTTACTTTTTATTAGTGTTGGTATTCCATTATGGATATACCACATTTTGTTTATTCCTTCATCAGTTGATGGACATTTGGGCTTTTCTCACTTTTATGACTATTATGAATAATGGTGCTGTGAATGTTAATGTACACATCTTTGTGTGAACATGTTTTTTTCTAGTGTAGATATGTAGGAATGGAATTTTTTAAAAAAAGATTTTATTTATTTATCCATGAGAAACACAGAGAGGAGAGAGAGAGAGAGGCAGAGACACAGGCAGAAGGAGAAGCAGGCTCCATGCAGGGAGCATGATGCGGGATTTGATCCAGGGTCTCCAGGATCACACCCTGGGCTGGAGGGGGCGCTAAACCGCTGAGCCACCCGGGCTGCCCCGAGAGATTTTATTTACTTTTGAAAGACAGAGAGAGAGGCAGACATAGGCAGAAGGAGATGCAGGCTCCCCTCAAGGAGCCTGATGCAGGATGTGATCCCCAGGACCTGGGGATCACGACTTGAGCCAAAGGCAGACACTCAGACCCTGAGCCACCCAGGTGCCCCAGAAATGGAATTTCTATATTTATCTTTTAAAGAAACTGCAAAACTGTTTTTCAAAGTGGCTGTACTATTTGTATTCCCATCAGCAGTGTATGAGAATTTGTTTCTTCACATCCTTACTGACACTTGACATGTTGATGGTAGCCATCCTAGTGGACAGGAAGTGGTTTCTCATTGTGGTGTTAATATGCATTTCCCTAATGACTAATGATATTAAGCATCTTTTTTTTTCTTTCTTTAAAAAAAATTTTTTTTTTTTTGAGAGAGTGCACAAGCGGGGGAGGGGAGAGGGAGAAGAGACTCTTCAGGGAGTCCTGCCCAAGGACACATGGGGCAGTGTGGATCCTGGGACTCCAGGATCACTCCCTGGGCGGAAGGCAGGTGCTCAACCACGGAGCCACCCAGGCATCCCTTGAATTTTGATTAAGTCCAATTTATTTATTTATTTTAATGGGTCATGCTTCTGGGATTGTGTCTAAAAAGTCTTTGCATAACCCAAGGTCTTGACATAAACCCAAGATTTATAGCTTTATTTATTTATTTATTTATTTATTTATTTATTTATTAAGTAATCTCTGTGCCCAACGTGGGGCTTGAATTCATGACCCTGAGATCAAGAGTTGTATGCTCTATCAACTGAGACAGCCAGGCACCCCAGCTTTAGCTTTTACATTGATGTCTCTGATCCATTTTGAATTTTTTTAAAGATTTTTTATTTATTTATTCATAGAGACAGAGAGAGAGAGAGAGAGAGGAGCAGAGACACAGGCAGAGAGAGACAGAGACACAGGTAAAGGGAGAAGCAGGCCCCATGCAGAGAGCCTGACGTGGGACTCCATCCAGGGTCTCCAGGATCACGCCTTGGGCTGCAGGCAGCGCTAAACCGCTGCGTAACCGGGGCTGCCCTAATTTTTATATAGAGAGTGAGATAAGGGTCTACATGCATCATTTTGCATGTGGATATCCAATTGTCCCAGCACCATTTCCTAAAGACTCTTCTATCAAACTGCATTTGTCAAAAATCAATTGGTCATAAATATAAGGGTTTATTTCTGAATTCTCAAATCTGTTCTATTGATCTGTGTTTATCCTTATGTTAGTATCAAACTGTTCTGATAACTGTAGCTTATATTAAGTTTTAAGATTTGGAAATAAAAGCTCTTCAACTTTGTTCTTTTTCAAAATTTTTTGGCTATTCTGTGTATTTTGGATTTCTATACACATTTTAGATTCAGCTTGTCAACTTATGCAGAAAAGATGTGCTGGAATTTTGACGGACATTGAGTTTAATCTATAAATCAATTTCAGGGAACTGCCATATTAACAATATTGAGTGTTCCAATCATTGAACATGGAATATTTCTCCATTTATTTAAATCAAGCTTAATTTCCCTCAATGTTGTTTTTAAATTTAGTGTACAAGTCTTGTACTTCTTTTGCTAAATGTATTCATAAGTATTTTATTCTTCTTAGTACTGTGAATAGAATTTTCTTTTTATTTTCAGATTGTTCATTCTCATATGTAGAAATAGAATTCATTTATTTTCATATATTAATCTTGTATTCTGCAACCTTGCTCAACTTGCTTATTAATTATAATAGGGGTTTGTGTGTATATGTGTGCATATATATTTTGTGCATATGTGTGTGCATATATTCCTTGGGATCTTCCATATACAGAATCATGTTGTATGTCAAATAAGGACAGTTTTACTTTTCCCTTTTCTTTTTTTTTCTTGTGATTGTACAGGCTAGAACCTGCAGTATGATGTTGAATAGAAGTTGCAAGAGCTGACATTCTTGCATTATTTTTTCGGCATTAAGTATGATGTTAGCACTAATACAAAAAGAGATATGCCCCCCTATGTTTATTGTAGTATTCTTTACAATATCCAAAACATAGAAGCAACCTAAGTGTCTAGTGATACATGAATGGATAAAGAAGATGTAGTATATATACAAAATGGATTTTTACACAGGCATAAAAAGAATAAAAAGAAATCTTGTCGTTTGCAACATGGATGTATCTAGAGGGTATAATGCTAAGTGAAATAAGTCAGTCAAATACAAATATCATATGATTTCACTCATATGTGGGATTTAAGAAACAAAACAAATGAACAAAGAAAAAAGACACAAAAACCTCAGACTTTTAAATACTGAGAACTGGTGGTTACCAAAGGGAGGTGAGTAGGGGGATGGGTGAAATAGGCGATGAGGATAAGAATATACATATCATGAGAGCATTCAGTAATAGAATTATGAGTCACTGTATTACATACCTGAAACTAATATAACACTGTATGTTTATTGGAATTAAAACGTAAATTAAAAAAAATATATTAGCTGTAGGTTTTTCATAGATGCCCTTTACTACATTTTAGAAGTTCTCTTCTTTTTCAAGTTTATTGAGAATTTTTATTATGAATTGGATTTTGGCTAATGCTTTTTCTATATCTATTGAAATTATTGTGTGGTTTTTATCTTTTATTTTATTAATATAGTATATTATGTTAATTTATCTTATAAAATTAAACTATCTTTACATTGCTGGTTTGAATGCCACTTGATCAGAGTATATAATCCTTTGTATATGTTGCTGGATTCAGGATCAATCTGACTTTGGAAGAAATGCAGAAATTAGTCAAGTGAAGTAGTCTTTACAAAATCTTGTTTTTAATGATATTTTTTAAAAATTAGAAAGTTCAGTTATCAGTATCTTTTGTCATTAGGACTAGTAACCCAAAAGATTGAAAGCACTTCACAAATATAATCTATGTTGCAATTAACAATGTAGAATGTGTTTTGAAACTATACATTCTTCTAATGTTAAACAAATATTTTATTCACCTGGATAAGGACTAATTTCAATTTTGTGATACCTGCCTATTCATTTCTTTTTTCTTTTAATATTTTAATTATTTATTTTAAGAGAGAGCCTGTGTGTGTGAGTGGAGGGAGGGGCAGATGCAGAGGGAGAGAGGTTACCTCCCATGCTGAGTGTAGAGCCCAACGTGGGGCTTGATCCCACAACTGTGAGATCATGACCTGAGCCGAAATTAAGAGTCGGGTGCTCAACTGCCCGAGCCACCCAGGTGCCCCTTATTCATTTCTTAGTGGTATATTTTGAAACTATAATTAATTTTATTTCATTACTACAATTAAAGGATCAAAGTCTCTTATGACCTTTCTGAAAGACAAAAACTCAGAAAATTCAAACTGCAATTTTCATATCTAGCTCTTGTTTTGAACAGTGAACATTATGGATTTATCCCCATTTTCATCCTTTTCTTTCAAAATGAGTTTGAAAAGATCGTTCTCTTTTTTACAAGCTAGAAAGTGTCCTTTGTACAACGAAGACTCAAATTGTATCTTATCATCATGGCCTGGAACACTTCTCTGAAAGAATATGATGTCATTTCCTTCATCATTGATACTATCCGGAGGACTCATTTTCTACAGAGGGGAAAAAAAAAAAAAACATGGTTCAATTTTTTAAGGGCATGAACAGTTTGAATACATGTGGTTTATTTTGAAGTTTATCACTACACAGAACTAAAGAAGTTTTTATTCTCATGAGTTAAGAAAAAACAAACCTTTCAATGTAACATTACTGATCTCCCCTCCCTCTTATTTATCTATTTATCTATTTATTTATTTATTTTAAATTTTATTTATGATAGGCACACAGTGAGAGAGAGAGAGAGAGGCAGAGACATAGGCAAAGGGAGAAGCAGGCTCCATGCACCGAGAGCCCGACGTGATATTCGATCCCGGGTCTCTAGGATCGCGCCCTGGGCCAAAGGCAGGCGCTAAACCACTGCGCCACCCAGGGATCCCCTTATTTATTTATTTATTTTTAAATTTATGATAGTCACACAGAGAGAGAGAGAGGCAGAGACACAGGCAGAGGGTCTTCTCCCTCTTAATTCCAAATCTATTCTTCCTGTTTACTCTTGCTTTTCCCACCATTGAATGCACATTCAGGTTTAGGCTTGTAGTTTCTTTTTTCCTCTTCCCTGAGTGGAGTCCATATCTGGTCAAGACGAAGTAGAGTTCCAGCACAGACCAGCTGTTTGTGCTGTTAGTTCTTGTCTTCTTCAACCATTCACAGCTAAACAAGTTGATAACTCCACTCCTAGGCATAAGCTAGCTCTTGTGAGCCAAATGTGAGAGAGGCAGAAAGTGGCATCTTAGCTTCTTTCTTCCTTCAGTGGGGCCAAGGACTGAAACTTGCTATAAATAGATCCCCTACTTGTACTGGGGCCAATGCCTTGGGTTCCAGTATAGCCTTGCTTATTGGCTGAGACAGTACTTTTGCTCTGCCAAGCACTCTAGTTCCATAGTAGATTTCAATTTTTATCCTGACATTGGCTGGGCCCTACCCTGAACCAAATGTTGACTCCTATATCTTTCAGCCACAGCATAAGGTTTTCTCAAGGATAGCTAGATCATTTGAGACTATAATCCTGCTGGTCACCCAACTGTACTTTTCCTATTATTGCATCATATTTACTTCTTGGGATGGGCTAGAAAATGTGAGGATCACCTGAGATTCTTTCCATGTTAATCCCAGAGCCAACAGACATTTTGATTTTAATTTTGAACCCTTGATAGGAAAGATTACCCTGATCCTAAGGAACTGATGGAAAGAACTCCAGACCCAAAATAGCATTCCAGCATCCTCTCAAGATACCTGAAAGAATCTGAGTGGAGGGGGCTACCTCCAAACTTCTCAATCAGTGGAATTTATAGGTCTAACTGACCTTTGTCCTTTATCAACAAATGAGAGTCCTGAACTGATGACAGTATAAACAAGTTCACTCCAAGCTCATAATTCTATGCCTGTCTACAATATACCAGAATTTAGGAAAAGACCCCAAACTGAGGGAGCCAATTTGGGACTAAGCTAAAGTCTAATGTATAAGTAATAGATCATCCCTAGTTAAAACTCCAAGAGGTCTAGAAATATTAGAGAGAGGTAAACCTTTTAGTTCAAATCTAGTGTGGAAAATTATTGTTGAAGGTAGAGGTGTGGATAAGCAGAATAGGTGATCTCTAACTAGTTCGATGTCCTATTTCAGAACAAAGGCAAGGAAATCTTGGGGCAGTGGCTCTCCTCGGTTTTAGTGTTGATTATTCAGAGCCCTCTTTGAGAAGGTGCACAAGTGGACATGGAAACAATCCCAATGACCTTGGCGAACCCTCAACTTGGAAAGGTCTACCTGGTGAAACGGGTGCTCCAAGGGCCTAAAGTATTCTTTACATCAGGAGGAATTGAATCTGAACCCAGGGAAAGGGAAGCTTGATCTAACGTTTAATTATTTTGGTCCTCTCCCAAGTGCACTTGTAAATCTGAGAGAACCCTGACCCTGCCTGTAGTATAAACAAAAAATAGACACTGACAGTAAGCTCTTGAAGCAAATCCCTCTTGGTGTCATGAAGGTTCCTGCCCAAAGAAAATCGGGGATAACCAGAAGCACTAGGACTTTATAGCTAGTAACCAACCCAGAAAGGTGAGCACATAATGGCAGCCAGTTGTGTTTTACAATCTAGAATTTAGTCTATATTTATAATCATGACTAAGATCCTTATTAATGGGTGGAAGACAGATTAAAGAACATGCATTAAAAATTGTCCTAGGGATCCCTGGTTGGCTCAGCGGTTTAGCACCTGCCTTCGGCCCAGGTATCACAAAAAAAAAAAAAAAAAAAAAAAAAAAAAAAAAAAAAGGTGTTCAAGTAATGATACACCCATTTAAAATATTCAAAAAAATAAAATAAAATAAAACTGTTCCTAAATCCCTCCTTCCCACTAAGTATCACCTGAGTCCTTCCATTTGCTATGAAGCTAATGAAATTTAAATGTCAGAGCCCCTCACTTGTCTTCCTAAAGGCCTTTTCTTTCTTTCTTTTTTAAGATTTTATTTATTTGTTCATGAGAGACAGAGAGAGAGAGAGGCAGAGACACAGGCAGAGGGAGAAGCAGGCTTGAGCAGGTAGCCTGACATGGGACTCAATCCTGGGTCTCCAGTATCAGGCCCTGGGCTGAAGGCAGCACTAAACCGCTGAGCCACCGGGCTGCCCAGGCCTTTTCTTATTCTAAATAAACCATCAACTTTATTACTTTGGTGATTTTTTATATTCTCTTTCTTTAAAAGGGCTGCCCAAATTATAGAAGCTTCAGGCTCTCGAAGACCTGGATTTGCCTAGTTCCTACTCTACGCCGAGCATTATTTCCATCTTAACATCCTCCCCAGTCTCTCTCAACAAGACTGCTTACAGGTTAGGTTCATCCGTTTCTGAATCTGCCAACACAACTGAATTAGTTGTCCTCTACCCCTGAAGGCTGGAGCTTAGTCAAGTCCCTCCTTCCCTTCTGAGTTTGTTGCTAAATAATAACGTGCTTAACCCACTTCAGCTCATTTGTTAGCTCTCAGGCCTTGAAAGCCATTATGATAACTAAGCTTCCTGCCTGTCAGGTCAACATGGGAGATTCCAACTGCCACCAGAAGGGAGTGGCACTCTGGTTGGAAGGCGATGGCCTAAGGGCACAGCTAAAGTTGGAAGTATTTGTTGCATTGGTCTTCCTTGGAGGATATATTTTAATCAATTAACTAATTAATTTGAGAGAAAGGGAGAGCGCACAAGAGCTGGGGTGGGGTGGGGAAGGACAGAAGGAGAGGAAGAGGGAGAGAGAGAAGGTAAGGTGGGATCTCACATTCCTGAGATCAGGACCTCAGCTGAAATCAAGAGTTGGACGCCTAACCAACTGTGCCACCCAGATTCTTTTTTCTTTCTTTTTCTTTCTTTCTTTCTTTCTTTCTTTCTTCTTTCTTTCTTTCTTTCTTTCTTTCTTTCTTCTTCTTTCTTTCTTCTTTCTTTCTTTCTTTCTTTCTTTCTTTCTTTCTTTCTTTCTTTCTTTCTTCTTTCTTTTTCTTTAGACAAGAGGGAGGCAGAGACACAAGCAGAGGGAGAAGCAAGCTCCTGGTTATGGAACTTGATCCGAAGACCCTAAGATCATGCCCTGAGCCGAAGGCAGATGCTCAACCACTGTGCCATCTGGATGCCCTGGATTATATTTTAAAATGGCTCTTTCTACCTTCCCAAATGTTCCCTTGACATGTTCACTAAAGTTATAACTAGCTTCCAGTAGGAACTGGGTGACCTTGACATCAGTTGTTTATTGGCAAATCCCCACTTAGCAAGTCTTTCATGTTGTGGATTCACCTTTGAAACACTGTCAACTTGTGAGCATGCCCTGGCTGCTGTTATTGGGAAGAAAGTTTTCTGGGTCAGTCTGTAGCTTTAGTTAATGGTTGTTTATTTGATAATACTGGAGAAAATAGAGAAAAATAATGGAGAAGAAAGAAAAATAAGCAGTGGCCAGAGGTAATTTATCTGACCTTGAGACAGATTAAAGAGCGTTCAGTTGGTTTAAGTGTCTGACTTTTGATCTCAGCTGGAATCTTGATCTCAGGGTTGGGAGTTCAAGCCCCACATTAAAATGTATTTATTCACTAAATAAATAAATAAAGAAAATAACATACACAAAGAAAGTAACATATATCAATTGAAAGTTGAAGGATGTAACCAAGACTTAGGCTAAGAAGCAGGAACAAAATAATTAGGGATTAAAATATAAATTACATTATCATCAAAATTTACAAAGTAGAGGGCTTACAGAAGGTCAGTTAGCTTCATTCTCTGTGTTAGGACTCATTCTGTAAAGTCACATGCCATTCTTTACTAATACATGATAATTCATGTCTGTATTTTATATTATTACTTTATCTATGGGTTGATTATTCAGAAGACTCTGGTTCTGAAACAAGTCTGCCCCTTCTCCCCCTATAGCAGGCTCAGAAAAACTATGATGTTATTGTAATGTTAGAGAGTCTGACAATTTTTAGTAACTATCCATTTTCATGCTTCTCTGCTTCTTGCTACTCTTGTTCTAGATAAAAGGTTGGACTGAGGATATTTGGGTTTTCAAATTTTGCACAAAAACATGACTAAAACAAATTAAGGCTCAGTCTTACCTGAAAGGAAATAGTTTTGTTCTTACAGGAGAGAGTAGACATTGTCTTATACTTCACAGAGATAGTTACTGCCAGACCTCTAGTGAGGCTATCTTTATACATATAGATGATAAATATGGTATGGGGTGCATTATCTGAAACAAACCATTAATAAAGGAAAACACTAGTTAGAAAGAAGTCTTGCAAATCAGTATTTATGGAAATTAGCTTAAGGATAATCCTTAATAGACCCATTACCATTACTTTGAGGTTCAGTCAGTTCAATAGGCACCCTCACATTCTTTAAAACACATTCACAATATGTATTGTAACACAAATGATGCAACTTTTTGAGTGTTTTACAGATCCTTTGAGTTCTAAAAGATTGTTTTTAACTTTATTTATTTATTTTAAAGATTTTATTTATTTATCCATGAGAGACAGAGAGAGAGAGAGAGGCAGAGACACAGGTAGAGGGAGGAGCAGGCTCCATGAAGCCACCCAGGCTGCCCGTTTTTAACTTTATTTTTTTTTAAACTTTTTTTTTATATATATTTTTTAATTTTTATTTATTTATGATAGTCACAGAGAGAGAGAGAGAGGCAGAAACATAGGCAGAGGGAGAAGCAGGCTCCATGCACCGGGAGCCCGACGTGGGATTCGATCCTGGGTCTCCAGGATCGCACCCTGGGCCAAAGGCAGGTGCTAAACCGCTGCGCCACCCAGGGATCCCCTGTTTTTAACTTTAAATGCTAAGTAGAACATTTAAAAAAATCTGTTAAGGTAAAAATTTAGTTTTTTTCAAAAGTGCACAGTCACTGTTTCAACTCTGCTTTAGCTCTGGTATTTAGAATTCAAACCTTGGGAGGCAAACTGATTCACTTTGTAAGGCACTCTAAGTTTCTGGCGTAAGACAGAGTTACCTGAAATGCTTGTGTATTTATTTTTGAGTTTTGAAAATGCTACCAGCAATTTCAGCTATAAGCAGCAGGTATTAAGGATCTATGTAGAGATCCTATATAGTTAATGCTATTAACAAGTGAAGGGATTGATAACCTATATGTAGGGTCACAGCAGGACCTCTAGCAATGTCTATTGCGTCTAATTTTCACCCCAACTAAAAAAATGTGGGATACCCTATCAAGTTTCTTATGAGTGAAATTATTACTACTCCTAGGACTTTTCATCTGAGGATTAGATCTATCAGAGAAAAACAGAGGTAGTTAAATGGAGTGGCTAGAAGTAGTTTATCACTTTTATGTTACAAATATATATTTTTAAAAATACCTGTACAGTCAGAATCAGGCATATCCTCAAATACAGGTTGATTTCCCTCGTTAACGAAGAGGACTTGGTCGTTCAAATTTCGTATGATTGAGAGTTTAGGTTCAAGCTTGCCAAAGTAATCTGATTCCAGGCCTTCTACAATGCACATTAAATATCCTTTAAAAATACGTTTTCCCCCCGCTAAATTTACAAATAAGCATACTATATGTCTTTCAGTTTTCAATAGCTACTGATCATAATCTGGTACAGAAGCAGCTATGATAAAGTTGCACAGTGTTTCTTTAACCCACTTCCAAGAGCACGCCCCAGTTCTTGTTATCACCCAGAACTACTCTACTTTTACAGTTTTATATTCAAATATTCTGTTTTCTAACCACAATGTCTCATTCCTTTAGCTTTCTTAAGCTTTTCCTCTACTTCAGAGTTCTGCCTCTTAAATTTTCTCCCTGTCTAACCTCTTCCTGTCTTCCCTATGCAGCTTGGACCTCGTGGCTCATCATTTTATCTACCCCTTTGCCAGTATCTTAAATCTCGAATTTGTTTGTCCTCCTACTACAAAACCCCAAACCTGGCCGCCTGAGTGTGGCTAGCAAACAATTATAGAAATGTACAAATTGGTGCCATCACAAATTCACCGATACAATGTCAATACATTCTGTTAACACTATTTTTCCTAGTGTTCTTAAGTTTCAGTGCCTAAAATTATTTATAATAAACACATTATTTCTATAATCAGAAAACATAAAGCTCTTTTCACTTTGAGATTTAAAATTCCTCCATCAATTGTATCCAGTCTGTAGCTGGCCTTGTTTCTTTCTTCCTTTTAATAGCTAAGCTTCTGGTAAGAATTGTCTGTATCACTTCCTTACCATTTACTCTTCTACCAATTGCAATCTGCCTCTGCCTCCATTTCTCCATTAAACTGCTTTCGCTGAGATCACCAAATTCCTTGTTGGCAAATGTGATAGACTTTCTGGCCCTTGGTTTTCAAGGCTGCAAAATCTAACAGGGTGCCTATGAACTCCAGCTTGAAAGGCTTTCCTGGGATTCTGTGGCATTCTCTTGTTTTTTTCTCCTTCCTTTTTGGTTACTCTGTTCTTTATCAGCTTTTTTACTGCATCCTTTAAATCCTTTCCATAGAGTTTAGTCCTTGGCTTTCACTTTCTCACTCTATACATTTCCTCTGATTTGTCTTTTTAATCCTATAGCTTCAGATGTCATTTCTATGCATAAGTCTCCTACATCTATATAACCAGCCCAGATTTTCATCCCGAGCTCCAAACTATATGTCCAAGGGTCTACTGGACATTTCCACTAGGATTTCCCACAGACAAGATCCAAAACTAAATTGATGTCTTTCTCTTTGCTCTGCAAACCTCTTTACCCTATTCTTCCTCTTGTGTTTCCTATTTAACTGAATGGTAGAAATTGCCTATGTGAAAAAAAATGTAGCCATCATCTTTTCTTTCTCTCCCCAGCCCCAATCATGTCCTGTTGATTCTTTCAAATATTTCTAAAATCCCTCCACAACTCTTCCTTGGTACCTGCTGTGCCTACCTTAATTCATGTCACCATCATTTCTTACAGGGACTGCAAGAATAGCCTCTTAATTGGTATCCCCATGTCCGTACATCAGTTCTTTATATTGAAGCCAGAAGGAATTAAAATTCAATTTTAATTAAAGTTGAAATTCAGAGAGATGATCATATTATCTCTGAATTTTAACGAGGCACATAGCCACTCAGAATAAAGATTAAAATTTCCAGATTTCCTCACAGCTGGTGTGGCCACATGACTAAATTCTAATGGATGGAATATGAGTGCAGTTGATGTGTGTGACTTCTAAGAAGAGCCTTTAAAAGGAATGGGGTTTTCTTCCCCTTATTTTGAATCCTTTCTTGCTGGCTGGGATACGGACCCAGGAAATGTGATAATGCTTTTCGAGTATGTGAATGTGTTCAACAACCTAGGGATGCTGGAATAACAAGAGAGAAGAAACTTGAGGTCCCAACATCATCAGGCAGTATCCAGCCATACTAATCCTAAATTACTGACTTGGACTTGTGTTTGACAGAAGCATTTCCTATCTTATTCAGTTACTATGTTTTTGGAACTCCTTGTTATGGCAAACCACTCTGAATACCAGATCATGTACACTGTGCACAATGAACTCCTATTATCCCAAAGATAAGGTCCAAATTCCCTATCTTGGAATAAGGGAACCTTCTTTATCTGCGCCCTATTATCATTCTTCTCTCACCATTCTCCTACTCCCATTCTGAGTTACTTTTAATTCCTCATAGCTGCCATGCTTTCTTTCATATCTTGACCTTTGCATGTGGTCTTTTCCCTACCTAGAATACTACTTCTTGGCTAACTCCTATTCACTCTTCAAATCTGTCCCTCCTTCAAAGTGCCCTCCCAGAATCTACTGGACTGAATTAGGTGCCCGTTTTATGTGCTCCTTTTGTGCCTTTGTAACACTTAACATATCGTATTCCAATTGCCTTCCTGATGTGCTTGCTACTTTCTGCGGGAACCATGTTTTGCTCACCATTGTATCCTACTGCTTAACATAGTGCCTGGGATATAGGTATCAATATTTATTGAATTAAATAAGTGGAGAGTAGGGCAATCTTTAAGAAACATGAGGGGTTATATGCCAATTATATCTCAGTAAAGCTGGGGGAAAAATAAACATGAAAAAGTAGTATTTTTTTTTTTCAAATAAATTGCCATCTTCTATTTCCAGTTCAGTAGGATTACTTTAAGAATGGGAAAAGTGCTATTTTTAAGGAAAAGTATGAGAAACTATACTGTGGACTTTAATAACCTGGGGGTCTGTTAGAGGGTCACCGGCCAGACATGGGTATGATCTTACCTAAATACCAGAAGGACAAGGCCTGGGTGCATTCACATCTTAATAAGACTCAGTGACTTAGCCTCATAATTCTGCCTGCTCCACCCTTCCCCAGCTCCTCTATTTCCAGAAATCTCTGGCTCCTGGGCACCTCCCAGGCTTTTTCCCAAAGCATTTCTGAGAGAGAGGGTTGAAGAAGGAAGATTTTCTTGATTTTGGACAACTCTCATGCTTCAATCCCTTTTTCCTCCAGAGAATCAATGATTTCCTGCTAATCTCAGGATCTGTATAACAGGCAATGACTACTTTGTAGATTCTAAGGGCTAGAGAATTTCCTAAGGTATAGAGAGAAACATATTTTGCTAGAGGTTCCTTTTGTATCCCTTAGGGTCATCTTTATTCCAAGGCTGTTCTTTGGGGTCCATATTCCTTTGAGGGAAGATTCGCTTCTCAAATATACTGGTACCAGTTTCTCTCAGCTGAGAGTGGTGATATGAGTGTGTCTGACAGACACTTACTCAAGTAGTTACTTATTTTACAAAGAAAGAGAAATAAATTTATACTTTACCATCACTTTCCGCTAAAGGAGAAAAAAGAGAAACAAAATACGTTAAGTTCTATATTTCAATTCAGAATATTTTTTACCCTATCATTTCATTGCTTTCCTGTCACTCCCCAAAATTTAACCACTATCTTACCAGTGATGGCCTTTGTGGAACTCCATCAGAAATATTATATAATCACCTTAAAGGTCCCATAAAATGAAGCTCATTAGACTTATTGTGTTCCCAGGTAAATTAGATATAAAACCTATATTCAGGGTTTATAAATTTAAATTTTCAGTTAAAATGAAATTTTATAAAATGAGAGATTTGCTCTTAAGTTCATTGTTTCTTTTTAAAAATATTTTATTTGTATATTTGACACGAGAGAGAGAGAGAGCACAAGCACGGGGAGCAGCAGACAGAGGAGAGGGAGAGGGAGAAGCAGGCTCCCCAGTGGAACAGTGAACCTGATGCAGGCTGGATCCCAGGACCCTGGGATCATGACCTGGGCTGAAGGTGGATGCTTAACCGACTGAGCCACCCAGGTGCCCCAGGTTTATTATTTCAATGGAAAAGTCACCTGGGGATTTTCTTTGAAGCTTTCAAATGAAGTCAGCCTTTCAAGTGAAGCCCAACTGCCCAGGGAAGATTAGTCATTAGCACCTGTTTTTGTCAAATATGTTTACCTAAAATGGTGTAACTCACTCACCGAACTCTAGATGTAAGGCATTTCTTATATGATTTGCAGTTTGTTTTGGGAAATTATATTCCCTGAATGTACCCAATTTTGTGGGATTTTCATGATGTGTACCTGAAACCACCTTGAGTTAGCTACTGTTAAAAGTGCCGGGATTTATGGTGGGATGAGGTGCTAGGATGTTGGACATATTGTGGTTAATTTCTAGAGGCCCAATATTTTTTCTCTCCAGAGAAGAGTGTCATTACAGAGAGTATTACAATGCAATTTGGTGACAAAAAAGAGGCACTTAATAGTTCACCTCAACATATTTTCTAGCTGCATACATTTCTGAACCCTCATTTGGCCTATTGCCATAAGCTTACCTTTAAAGTACAGTGTATTATTAATAAATTTCATTTTCACAAAGTTGATGCAATCATCTTCTATTGGGTTAGTAGCCATCTTTATTCCTAATGAAAGCAAAGCATTGTCTATGAAAAGGTAGTGGTTGATACATATATATAAAAAGAATTTTTACTATTTACTGCCTTGTACTACCCCGAATTCAGAAGTCAGTGTATCACCCAGCATGCTGATGAACACTTTGGACACTTAATAAATGGTTGGGTCTTTGCCTTATGAATACACATACTCAGATGTTCTCTTGCCAACCATCAGATATTTGGAATCTAGAAAGTGCCTTTTCATAAAACAGTGTTATAAAGGATGGATAAGTGGCCCACTACTGAACTGAAATATTGTCCTAGTATCTTGGGAGAAATAGAATATCAATATAAATATAAGATGCATGTCATTTAACTACAGATTGGCTCTATCTCTTTCAACCAAAAGGATCACGTGCATGGGGATTCAACAGGATCACTTCATTGTCAAAATACTTAAAGTGAGACAATGATAAAAATGATCCCTTCACTTGGCAGTGAGGGTGAGGCTTGTCATCTGGTGGCTCTTTTTCTCTCTACACAGCAGCAGCAGCAGCTTTAGATCTGGAATTTGGCTTATACTATGCCTTTTACACAAATAATATGTAAATATACAGTATTTCTGTAAAAAACAACAACAAATAATATAGGCCTTGAAAATGTTAAAACTTTTCTTTGCTCTTCTCTTGTGCCCCTACTCTACTCCACTCCACTCCAATATAGTATGTATCCTTCCAGACCTTTGTCTATGAAGCAGGGAATTTGTGAACTTGGATGGGAAAAAATTTACATATTTATTTATACCAGTTTCTAACTGAAATTTAGCAGTTCCTTCCATTATGGTGTAGGAAACAAACAAATTATTGGCAGTACCTGTAATGTCATTAACAGAAATACATATTTCCTATTGTGGTATCTTGAGTTCTTGAAATAAGGTTTGAAATATACAGAAGTGATTGGTCCTCCCAGATTTTGTAATTTATGTGTTAATGAAGAAGCACATAATTATACTATATCAAAATTGGTTAAATTTTTTTGATAACTCCATTTTGATACAATAGATTTCCTTTATAATCCTAAGTATTTAATGTTATGCATGTAAAGATATTATTTTGAGAAGGGATCCATAAATTGCACCAGATTGTGGGTCCATGACACAGAAATGTTTAAGAGGTTCTATCTACTCCAGAGTTCAGCAGTACCTTGGATTCCTTTTTTTTTTTTTTTTTTTAGATTTTATTTATTTATTCATGAGAGGCACAGAGAGAGAACAGAGACCTAGGCAGAGGGAGATGCAAGCTCTATGCAGGGAGCCTGATGTGGGATTCGACCGCGGGACTCCAGGATCATGCCCTGAGCTGAAGGCAAACGCTCAACTGCTGAGCCACCCAGTCGTCCCAGTACCTTGGATTCCTTAGGGTAGTTACGATTGGGACTCTAAGGGAGGTGGTTGGGTCACAGTCGTCGTTGGCATATATAGGGGTATTTAAGCTGAAGGTTCCAGTTAGAGAATTGACTCGAACATTTTTCTGATATAGTCTGCTGAAGCCAGATATATATGGTAGAGGAAGCAGGAAATTAAAACCCAGTTTAAAAACGTAATCCAAATTAGGTTAACCCAAAACCCTTGTCAATTGGTGGCTATTTAAATTTTATCTAGGTTCAGTTCCTTATACACATACAAATGTGGATAGTTATCAAATTTATATAGATATATAATATACAAACATATGAAATAACAGCTAGGGTGGTCTTCTCACAAACTTTTGTTGGACCCTGGCTCACGGGTGCCAACGTGTCCCGGTGGACGCCCCAGAGACTCAGACCCCAGACAGGCAGATGCAATTAGCAAGAGGGTTTATTGAACGTTTGCGCAAACGGGCTCTCCGCCTCTGAGGAGGAAAAGAGCCCCGATTAGCAATTACAGGGATCTTTTAAAGGCAAAAGAACCGCGGGAGTCGCATGGCATCCAGGTTGATTCACAGAGGGTCAACATGAACCTATTCAGGGACATTCCAATCAGGGTGTGGGGGGAAATGGTTTTCTTATTGTAAACAGAATGCTTTTAGTTGCTAAAATTTCAGGAAGGCGCCTGGATGGGCTGCCTCTGGGTTAGGGCTGGCCCTACTTACAAGGGGGGAGGTTTCTTCATTCCCTCCTCTTGTTTGGGCTGATTTTAACCTTAAAATCTTAGGGAACATTTATTTCTTCAGTTTGGAGGGCCCGACATTGCTGAGTTAATACCAGAGCTTGGGTAATAGACAATCTTTCTCGGATGAACTGGAGCAGCCGGTTGAGGACGCAGGGGCCGAAAGTTAGCAGCAGGAGCAGGATAACTAGAGGGCCCAGAATGGTAGAGATTAGGGTGGTCAACCAGGGAGACTGATTAAACCAGCTTTCAAACCAGCCCTGCTGGGCCTCCCGGTCCCTTTGTCTTTTATTTAACCTTTCCCTGAGTTTGGCCATGGAGTCTCTGATGACTCCAGAATGGTCTGCATAGAAACAGCATTCCTCTCCCAGGGCCGCACACAGTCCTCCCTCTTTCAGGAATAGTCAATCCAAGCCTCTCCTGTTTTGAAGTGCTACTTCTGAAAGTGAGGTGAGGGACTGTTCTAACTTAGAAACGGACTGCTCTAGTGTCCGTAGATCCTCATCTACAGCTGTTTGGAGTTCTATATAACGTCGTGAGCCCTGGATCAGAGCAGCTGCGCCAGTACCCACCCCAGTAGCGACCCCTAGTCCCAACACTTTAATGTTATGTAATGGACTCGTATTTTTGGAAAATAATTTACCCAAAAAGTACTAAGTAGTATGTGCAGGAATTGTATGAATTTACTTATGTTTACTAGAGTGAGTAGTGAATCAATGAATGAATGGATTTAGAGGACACTGTTACCTTAAAAAATAATAATATTACACAATATTTGAAATCATCAGTTAATTACTGAGCATGCACTAGGTGTCAGGCGTGGCGTTAGAAAGCTGACAAAACACAATACCTACCCTCCAATTACTCAGAGTCTAATGAGAGACAAATACATAAAATTCCAAAATAGTATAATGAATGCTTTAAGAGCTAGGTTTACAAGAGACCCTCTCTGTGTGCCTGGCGTGTTGAAGAAGATATCTTAGAGGAAGTGATAACTGTGCTGATTTGTAAGAGAGACAGGCATTTTCAAGGCCAAAGGAAAAGCTTTCCACAAAGAGGGAACAGTCTAAGCAAAAGCCAGGAAGCAGGGAATTCTGAGAGACCATGGCTTATTTGGTGCCTCATCATTATTATTGTAGTTGATGGAAATGCCCCTCCCTTCCCATTTTACAGGAGGTAAGCATTCTTGATGATCTCACATAGTTAAAGATTAACTTTTCCTCAGGAGTAAACAGAAAAGTATGTGAAGTGTTATCCTTGGAGTACATAAATCTACAACAACCAAAGTAGTATTCTAGCTTTCTTTCTTTGTTTCAACTTTCTCACCCACTAAAGCTTTGCATAGTGCTCTCTCCACACACTCTATCATGGTGGTACTTTGGCTTTAATCTTGCACCTGTTTTTCCAACTTATTTATTTGGAGATGTTTTTCAGCACAACAGTAACAATACCCCTCGGCACTTCAATAACATTACTATCAGGTATAAAAATATTTAAAATTATGAGAGTAGTGAATATTTTAAAAATACCATACAAAACCTGTATGTCTCAGGAACTTCTGATATATTTAAAGAATAGCCTAGTTTACATAATACTGACAAGGAAGTAGATCATTGTCAGGTATAAGAGACATTTAAATGTGTCAAGCGTGTTTTTTTTTTTTTTTTTCCAAGAGTGTTAACAGTTCACAACTCACTTAGCCTACCGGCTTTGAAATTATGTCATTCTAGATAAACTAATTTGGAGGACTTCACATATTTTCATTATGTCTATGAAGTGAGGCTCTTATTTTTTACATTTCATGAATTGATCCTGCCTAGTTCAATTCATATAAAATGCAACTTGCGATGTAGTTCAGTTTGACAAAACTCTGGAAGGAGATTCAGATTATAAAGACCTGGCTTAAGTAGGCTAAAGAGTTTGAACTGTTTTTCTGAAAAAAATACTAATTTTCTTCAAGTAGGAGAAAGACAAATTTATGTTTTAAAAAAAAAATGGACAGAGCCCAGAAAACAACCTCAGAAGCAATGTTAACAGTTCTGGTAACATTTGATGAAGCTATAAACTAAGGTAGTGGCTGTGGGGATGAAAGGAGATTTAACAGCAGGATTTTTAAGCTGATTGGCTGTAGATCAAATTGGAAGAAGGAGGAACTGCAAGTGACCTCAAAGTTGATGGCTTGGGCAATTTGCTGAGTGGTTATAACTCAAAAAGAGAATGACAGGCTTCAGTAGAAGATAGTTTAGTTTTGCAAATCTCAGAGAGAAGTGTCAGAGAAGGCAAGGGAGAAAGGAATTTCAAAGACAAGCTTGAGATCAAAAGCTGTAGAGCTCACAGTTTAGATACAAGCTCAAACTTGTTCGTTGAACTTGGCAGTTAGTAGGAAGTTTTGGTGTTAGCACAGTATGGGGAATGTGGAGGGAGCAGAGGCACGCTGATAAAGATCTAGAGCAGAATTGGGTGGGGAAGGACTAGAGGTGCAGGGAAATAAGACAACAAATACAAATCATTCTTTTAGGGAGTTTGGCTATAAAGCGAAGAGAGAGTGGGGGAGCTAGGTGGCGGGGGAGGTGGGCAGGGGCAGTATGTAACTTGCAAATTTCAGTTTCTGACTCCAGACCCACAGTCCAACTGTAGGATATACTAATGAATTACTTTCCGAAACATTCTCAAGTAACCTGTCCCAAATGGAAACCAGGGAGTCCTCGACTCCTTTGTCTTAACTGCTTCATAAATACTGTAAATTATAACTCAGAAAGGTCTCTAGAGGGGATCCCTGGGTGGCGCAGCGGTTTAGCGCCTGCCTTTGGCCCAGGGTGCGATCTTGGAGACCCGGGATCGAATCCCACATCAGGCTCCCGGTGCATGGAGCCTGCTT